GGGGGGGGGGTCTGATTCCAGAGAGCAGCACCCAGCCACCAGTCAACCTTCCAGAAACTTCCATCCGGCCTTCCCCAGAGGAAGGAGGGAATAAGCGATAAGGCCAATTTGCACTTGGTAAACGGTGTCCATCCGGTTTCCCGGCCACAGGGACCTGTTTTCCCGGTGTTTCAGTGAAATGATTCACTGAGCACTGTCCCCTCCATTCCAACCATCGCTTCCCAGCCTTTATTTTTGGTGCCAGTCCTGGGGCTTGAACTCAGGGCCTCGTGTCTTGAGTGCTTTACCACCTAGGCTAGCTCTGAAACCACGACATCCCTGTGGGGGAAAACACACGGCCAAGCCGGCCCCGCCACCCCCCTCCCCGCCCACCCCACCGTCCCCAGCACGCGCCACCAGCAGACCTCAAACCCAAGCGGAGGCCAGCCTTAGAGCAAAAAGCTCAGGGACAGCGCCCGGCCCCGAGTTCAAGCCCCCAGCACCGACCAAAACCTAAGTAAATGATAACGTCGACCGTGTGCAGAGAAACGCAGATCACAGTGAGTTTATTGTCCAAAGGCGCACGGCCAGATTTGGGTGACCATCTTCCCCCTACGCACCCCAAAAAACCTCGTGCCGGGGTTAGTTTTTGTTTAATTTGTGTCCAAACCAACCACACTGGTTTGCTGAGAGAGGGTGAGGGAGATCTGAGGTTCGTGGTACAAAACATTGGCCCCCAAACTAAAACCAAGAGAAAATAAGAGCAAACTATTATTTAATGTTTCCCCCCAGATTCTTCTTTTGTGGAAGGCAGGCACCCATCAAAATAAAGGGGCGAATCTCAGTAAGGCTGTGCGCCCCCCCCCATAAGCCGTAGGCCACGGAAAATTCCAGCACCTGGGTGCATGTGTGTGTGTGTGTGTGTGTGTGTGTGTGTGTGTGTGTGAATCTTCCTTCTCTAACACAAATGGGTCACTTGGACACACTGTTCTCAGGGGCTCTGGGTTTGTGTGGACGGGGGACCCTCACCCCCCCCCTCTCCACAGACATGTTGTCTGAAGAGGATTTGGGGAGGGGGCTGGGAGGACGGGGGTTACTGGCACTTGAACTCAGGGCCTGGGCGCCGGCCCTGAGCTTTTTGGGCTCGAAGCTGCTTTCTGCTTTTTGGTGGTCGGGCTGGAGATCGCGTCTCATCACCACCGGACTTTTGAACCTGGCCTGGCCTTGAGCTGCGATCCTCAAACTCTCAGCCTCCCCCAGAGCTGGGATTACAGGCGTGTGCGCCCGCCGGTGTTTTAGGTCTCAACATCCATCCACTTTCCCAGCTGCTGTCCCGGAGGGAGGGAGGGAGGGAGGGAGGGAGGGAGGGTGGGAGGGTGGGAGGGAAGATCTCTCGGGTTCATGTTATTTTTTTCCCCATTATGATAAAGGATTGAAATAAGAACCTGGTGAAGTTCACAGGTGAAAGTTCAAATCCTAGAAGGGGTGGAGGGGTCAAACACCCCTCGGGGTCCTTCCTTCTTTGGGGGTGTCTAGCCCCCCCCCCCGCACCTGGCCGGCCAGGCTGTATAGACGACTGTGAGGTGTTATACAAATGAAGATGGCCCGTGCTGTCTTATTCTTATTTTTCTTTCTGTAGCTCCTGATCCCACCAGGAAACCGAAGGTTAAAAAAAAAAAAGCAAAAAAAAAAAACAAACAAAACCCACTCCTGTCTTTGAAGAATGCAATCAAGAGGGGAAAAAGAAGAAAAAGAAAACAACAACAACAACAAGTCCTAACCATAAATAGACAACCAGAAGAAAGGGATTCGCATAGGCTTCTCAGACCTCGGGATTTTAGGCAGTAAAATATTATTTAAAAAACCAAACCCAAAGCTTATAAAACAGCAGCACAATGTGAATCCGACGGCCAGGGACCGCTAATGTGAACAACCAGTCAGGGAGCTTAGCTTCTTAGTAGCAAATAACAACAACAACAACAACAATAATAATAATAATACACTAAAAAAAGGAAAAAGAGCCCGACATTCCCGGCCTTCCGCCCTCCCACAGAGCCCGGGGTGGACACTGTCCCCCTGTTTCTAAAAGGCAAATATTCTGGCTGGTTTTTTGAGCCAGTCCTGGGCCTGAACTCGGGGCCTCTCCGCTCTAGTGTGGCGCTTTTTCTTTTTCTTGGCTCAAGGCTGGCGCTCTACTTCTTGAGCCATGCCTCACTTCCAGCGTTTTTGCTGGTTCACTGGAGAGGAGTCGTCTCCTGAATTTGTCTGCCCAGGGCTGGCTCTGAACCACGATCCTGAGGATCTCAGCCTCCTGAGTGGCTGGGATGAGGGGCGGGAGCCGCCAGTGCCCGGCTCAATGGGTACCTCTAAGAGAGGGGGAGGAAGAGAGAATTTTCCAGTAGGTCGAATGGCAACTTGGCCACAAAAACTTTTAACAGCAATGAGGACACCAGGCTGGTGAGAATTACCTTTTAAAGATGGAGATTTCTACCCTTCACCCTCCGAACGTCCCTCCCTCCCCCCCCTCCGACCCCCCCCCAGGCTTTGCTTCTAGAGCTTTCCAAAGGAAATACCCAGCCAACAGATAGGGGGAGGCCCTGACCCCTAGGATGGACAGCTAGCTACCAGAACCTTCTCTGGGAGACAGCAAGCAACCAGATGGCCCGGGATGGGGGAGGGAAATGAACCCCAACATCTCAGCCCCACCCCTCTCTCTCTCTCTCTCTCTCAAAGTGCTTTTCCAACGCCATGGTTTATCACGATGCTGAACTGTGAACCAGATTTGCAAATGAGCACCGACAAGAAGAAAGCAAGCCAAACCCCACAGGAAGACTTGTGTTAAGAAGAAAGGCTCGGGGCTGGGCAGGTGGCTCGGTGGCAGAGCGCTCGCCTCGCATGCATGAGGCCCTGGGTTCGATTCCTCAGCACCACAGAAGCAGAAAAAGCCGGGAGTGGCGCTGTGGCTCAAGGGGTAGAGCACCCGCCTTGAGCTGAAGAGCTGAGGGACAGCGCCCAGGCCCCACAACCAACAACAACAATTACAAAAAGAAAACAACAACAAGGTTTCCCTCCCCGTCTTCGATGAGAAGATGGCTGGCCTTTGCAGAAGGTGTGCCCCCAAATCCAAACCAAGAAAGCACCAAACAATGTCATCCAAGAGCTAAAGACCAGTGGGTCCACGCTGGCTGGGGGCGGGGGAACCGGCCTGCCCATCAACCACCCGCAACCAGCCCATGGGTCAGTGAGCTGGGGTGGGCGGGGCTTCTCCAGACGCAGCGGTCCAATCCCCACGCTGCCAGCTGCCTAGCCCCGCCCCCTGGACTGCTGCTTCTACTTCTGTTAGGAATCCTTCCATCTATCCATCCATCCGTCCGTCCATCTATCTATCCATCCATCCATCTGTCCGTCTGTCCATCCATCCATCCATCCGTCCGTCCATCCATCCATCCATCCGTCCGTCTGTCCATCCATCCATCTGTCCATCCATCTGTCCATCCATCTGTCCATCCGTCCATCCATCCATCCATCCGTCCGTCTGTCCATCCATCCATCTGTCCATCCATCCGTCCATCCATCCATCCATCTGTCCATCCGTCCATCCATCCATCTGTCCATCCATCCATCCATCTGTCCATCCATCTGTCCATCCATTCATCCATCCATCCATCCATCCATCTGTCCATCTGTCCATCCATCCATCCGTCCGTCCATCTGTCCGTCCATTGGTCCATCCATCTGTCTGTCCGTCCATCCATCCATCTGTCCGTCCGTCTGTCCATCCATCATCCATCCATCGTCCGTCCGTCCGTCCGTCTGTCCTCTGCCCCATGGTGCCAGGCCCTGCTCCGTGTCAGGATCCTACAGCGCTCCATCAGCCCCAGCAATGGGGTGTTTGCTGCTGTTGTTTCTTTCCTCCCTACTCCAGTCACTTTCCAGAAAGTTCTTTCTACAAATGAGCCATCAACAACAAACCGGGGGGGGGGCGCTTTTCAAATGTAGGGGCCTTCTCTTTTGACTTCTAACAACACAAAAAACGGTCTTGAAATGGCACCTGCGTCGGGACAGACCATTGTGTGTGTTCTGTCTTTTTGGAAGAAAGGTTTCCTTCTAGAACATCAAGAGGCCGACAGAAGCAGGGAGAAGGCGGGGCGGTGGCCCGGGGTCCCTCCTCCCGCGGCGGGGGGGGGTCACACTCTACAGGTCAACGTCCCTCACGTCCGTGGGGGTGGTGGCTGGGTCCGCTTCCACTTCCGACTCGGGGTGCTCCCGTTGTTCCTGGCCGAACTGCTGCAGGCTGTCGAGCAGGACGGCCTCGATCTGCTCCTGACAGGCCGTCAGGCAGTCCTGGGGTACAAAGGTCCAGAGAAGGGGGGGTCAGCCGGACGCCCAGAGACCAGGGGACCAAAGGGGTCAGAGTGGACACGAAGAAACAAAAAGGCTGCCGGGCGCCGGCGCTCACACCTGCCATCCCCAGCTAACTCAGGGAGGCTGAGAGGTGAGGATCACGGCTCGAAGCCAGCCAGGAAAGTCCATGAGGATCTGGTGAACCACCAAAAAAGCTGGACGTGGCGCTGTGGCTCAAGTGGTAGAGCACCAGCCTTGAGCTGATGCTCAAGGGACGGCGCCCAGGCCCCGAGTTCAATTGCCATGGCTAATAATAATAATAACAATACCTTCAAAGAATGACTAGGACGCTGGACAGGGAAAGTGTGAACCAGGATTCATTGGATGGGCTTGCAGACACGTCAAAATACAATCCCTGGCGCCACTCATTGAAAGCAAAGAGAAGCTCTGGGCGCTTGTGGCCCCTAGGAGGCTGAGATCCGGAGGATCGCGGCTGGAGGCCCAGCCCGGGCCAAAGACACAAAGGCAACGTGGAGATAAAACGGGGAAAGGCTCCCCGGGGTGTGTGTGTGTGTGTGTGTGTGTGTGTGTGCGTGTCAGATTCGAGGGCCCTGTGCCCAGAAACTCTATTCAGAGTTTCTCAGAACAAAACAGCAGGCAGGAAGGCGGGCTGACACGCGAGGGGACCGTCCACCCAAGAGGCAGCAGCTGCCCGGCTCTCCTTCCCCGGCCCAGGGCCAGCGTTTACCTCACCGTTTGCCCGTGTGAGGCTGGGCAGTGGGGCCTGGCAGCCACTTTGGGGCCATGAGGGGCAGGAAGGAAGCCGGGACAAAGAGGATTCAATCACTGAACACTCTGTCTTTTCTCAGGGTGGTGAACTCCCAGCCTAGAGAGCTGCGGGGAAGCTTCTAGAACATGCTTAAAACCCAGCTGCATTCTGGTCCTCCCTCCTTGAGAGTTCCAGGTTTTTCTTTTTTGTTGTTGTTGTTGTTGGTTGTGGGTCTTGAACTCAGGGCCTGGGCGCTGTCCCTCAGCAATTCAGCTCAAGGCGGGCGCTCTACCGCTTGAGCCACAGCGCCCACTTTGGTTTTGTGGTGGTTCATGGGAGATCGGAGTCTCACGGACTTTCCTGCCCGGGCTGGCCTCGAACCGCCATCCTCCGGATCTCAGCCTCCTGAGGAGCTGGGATGACAGGCGTGAGCGCCGGCGCCCGGCTTTGGATCTTCATAAGCTCCTGGACGTGGGGCCTCCTGCCCGGGCCCCGGCCCGTCCGGCTGTCCCTCCCCCACCCCCGGCCTTACCACGTCGGTGTTGGTGATCCTGGCCAGCAGCTGGGTGAGGGCCTCGCAGCTGGGCGCGCTGGCCGCCTCCTCCTCCTCCTGCTGCTGCTGCTGCTGCTGCTGCTGCAGACCGCGCAGGGCGGCCGCCACGCTCCCCGTGGCGATCATGGAGGGGAGGTACGTGGAGAACTTGAAGTCTGCGGGGTACGGGGGGGCGGGGGTCAGGCGCGGGGGCGCTGGGCGGCCCCGCGGGGCTCGGCCTCCGCTGGCCTCCAGCTGAGATCCTCAGCCCCTGGCCTCCCGGGAAGCTGGGATTGCAGGCGTGAGTCACTGGACTCACACACGGGGGGGGGGCGGCCGCAGTGACCCCCCCCGATGGCTGGGGGGGCCCAGTTTCCAGTCCCCAGTAACCACGGGGACTTCGCTCCCTTTCTGGATTGGGGGTCCCCCCGCCCTGCCCCCCCACCATCCCCCCTGAGTTCTCTGGGCCATCGGTCTGGCTACAATGTGGCAGGAAACCCCGTCAGGAGCCATCTGGAAAGCGCCAACGGTCTGCGGGGTGCGCTGGGGTCGGGGTGGGGTGCGCTGGGGTCGGGGTGGG